AGATGGCCAAGAAGCACATGAAAAGATGCTCAACATCACTAATCATCAGTAAAATAAAAAGCAAAAGTATAATGGGATATCATCTAACACATGTCAGAATGACAGCAAAATACAACAAATAACAGTGTTGACAATGATGTAGAGAAAACAGGATGCTCATGCGCTATTGGTGGGAATGTAAACTGGTGCAGCCGTTTCGGAAAACATGGAGGTTCCCCACAAAATTAAAAACAGAACTACCACATGACCCAACAATTAACTTATGGGTACTTTTGAAAGAAAACAAAAACACTATAATTTGAAGAGATAAATCCACTACTATATTCACTGAAGCATTATTTACAATAGCCAAGATATGGAAGCATAAGAATTCTTATCACAGGAAAATATTTTTTTCTATTTCTTTAACTTTGTATCTATATGAGATGATGGATGTTCACTAAACTTACTGTGATAATCATTTCATGACTTATACATCATGTGAAATGCCAGGCTGGATGAACCACAAGCTAGAATCAAAATTGCCAGAAGTAACAACAACCTCAGATATGCAGATGAGAACACGCTAATGGCAGAAATAGAAGAAGAACTAAAGAGCCTCTTGATGAAGGTTAAAGAGGAGAGTTTAAAAGCTGGCTTAAAACTCAACATTCAAAAAACTACGATCATGGCATCTGATTTCATTACTTCATGGCCAATAGAAGGGGAAAAAGTGGCAACAGTGACATTTTCTTGGCTCCAAAATCACTGCGGATGGTGACTGCAGCCATGAAATTAAGACAATTGCTCCTTGGAAGAAAACCTATGACAAACCTAAACAGTGTATTATAAAACAGAGCCATCATTTTGCCTACAAAGGTCCATATAGTCAAAGCTATGGTTTTTCCAGTAGTCATGTATGGATGTGAGAACTGGGCTATAAAGAAGGCTGAGTGCCGAAGAATTGGAACTGAGATGTTGGAGAAGACTCTTGAGAGTCCCTTGGACTGCAAGGAGATCAAATCAGTCAATCCAAAGGAAACCTGAATATTCACTGGAAGGACTGGTGCTGAAGCTCTAATTCTTTGGCCACTTGATGTGTACAGCTGACTCGTTGGAAAAAACCGTGATACTGGGAAAGACTGAAGGCAACAGAAAAGGAGAGCAGAGGATGAGATGGCTAGAAAGAATCACTGACTCAATGGATGGGAATATGAGCAAACTCCAGGAGACAGTGGAGGACAGGGGAGCCTGGCCTGTTGCAGTCCACAGGATCACAGAGAGTCAGACATGACTTAGCAACTGAAGAACAATAAAAGACAAATCATTATGCTGTACTCAAACAGACATGTCAATTACATCTCAATCAAACTGGAAGAAAAATAACTTATAACACTTGTACATTGACAACTACAAAACACTGCTGGAAGACATTAAACATCTAAATAAATTAAGACATGCTGTGTTCATGGACTGGAAGATAGTATCATTAGGATGGCATTAAGCCCTAAAGCAAACTACCTATTAAATGCAATTAATATCAAAATTCCAATGACATTTTCAGCAGAAATGAAAAAGCTGATCCTAAAACTCATATGGAGACATAAGACCCCGACTGGCCCAAAGTGTCTTTAAAAAAAAAAAAAAATTTGTAAGGCTAACACTTCTCAGTTTTAAAATTTACTGGTAGTCCAGTGGTTGAGAATCAGCCTTGCAATATAGGGAATGTGGGTTCAACCCCTGGTCAGGGAACAAAGATCCCACATGCTGTGAAGCAATGTAAGCACCAAAACTACTGATGCCTGTGCTCTACAACAAAGGACCCTGCATGACACAACGAAGATCCTGCTTGCCACAACTAAGACCCAAGGCAGCCAAATAAAAACAAATAAATAAATATTTAAAAAAAAAACCAAAACTTACTACCAAAACTACAGCAATCAAATCAGTGTAGTAATGGCATATAGATATGCATGTAGATCAAAGGAACAGAATTGAGAGCCTAGAAATAAACCCTCACATCTGTGGTCAATGGTGTCAGGACCATTCAAAAGGAAAGAACAGTCTCAACAACTGGTGCTGGGACAACCGGATATCAATGTGGAAAGGAATGATGTTTGACTTCTGTGCTGTGCTGTGCTGAGCCGCTCAGTCATGTCCAACTCTTTGCAACCCTATGGACCATAGCCCGCCAGGCTCCTCTGTTACTGGGGATTCTCCAGGCAAGAATACTAGAGTGGGTTGCCATGCCCTCCTCCAGAGGATCTTCCCAACCTAGGGATCAAATCCAGGTCTCCTGCAATGCAGGCAGATTCTTTACCATCTGAGCCACGAGGGAAGCCCAAGAATACTGGAGTGGGTAGCCTACTCCTTCTCCAGGGGAACTGTCTGACCGAGGAGTCTAATCAGGGTCTCCTGCATTGCAGGCGGATTCTTTACCAGTTGAGCTACCAGGGAAGTCTGACCCCTACCTCACACCATATAGATAAATTAACTCAGTATACATCTAAGATGCAAGTAAGAGAACTAAAAGTATAAAATTCTTGAAAAAAATAAATGGACAAATCCTCATGACTCTGGATTTGGCAATGGTTTCTTAAAGATGACACGAAAAGCACAAGCAACGAAAGAAAAGATAGGCACACTGGGGCTTCATTAAACATAAAATGCCATGCAGCGAAGAATAGTGAGTGGAAAACACATATTTGCAGATTACACATCTGATAAGATTCCACAATCCAGAATATATAAAGAACTCTTACAACTCAAAAACATTAAGGACAAACAATTAAAAAGTGGACAAAGACCTGAATAGATGTTTTTCTAAGGAAGATATAAAAATGATCGAGTACATAAAAAGGTACTTTAACACCATTAGTCGTTATGGAAAGGGAAAGGCAAAACAAACCACAATGAAAATAATGGTGAATATGAGATACAACTTTGTATCTACTGGGATGGCAAAAAAAAAAAGGTAGAGTGTTGGTGAATGTGGAGAAGCTGGAACCATTAGAAATTGTTGGTGGGTATGTCAAATGAGGTAGCCACTGTGGAAAACAGTTTGAAGGTTTCTGAATAAGCTTAGAATTACTGGGTTGGCCAGAAAATTCAAGTTCTTCCATAACCTCTTATGGAAAAACCTGAATGAACTTTTTGGACAACCCAGTACCATATGACCCAGTAGTATTTCCAACTCCTACGTATATACCCACAAGAACTATATGTAGGTGTTTAAAAACTTGTACACAAATGTTCATGTTGGGTCTATTCACAATAGCCAAAAGGTGGAAACAACTCAAATGTCCATGAATAGATGAATAGATAAATAAAATGTGGTCTAAACAAATATTATTATTCAGCCATAAAAGGCAAAGAACTACTGACAGATGCTAGGGCATGAAGAAATCTCAGAAGATTATCCTATAAGTCAAAGAAGCCTGAGAGAAAGATCACATATGATGTGATTCCAATTAAATGAAATAACCTAAGTAGAAAAGTTCACAGAAACACGAAGTAGACTCCTGTGGTTGTCAGGGACTGGGAGGAAGGAAAAGAGAGTGACTGCTTAACGAGGTTTCTCCTAGGGTGATGAAAAGTTCTGGAACTAGACGTGGTGACAGCTGTAAAACACTGTGAATATATTTAGTACCATGGAATTGTACACTTCAAAATGATAAAATTGTAAACTTCATGCTATATATTTTACTACACTCCCCCCCTCCCAAAAATGCTCTATCTGCATCCTTTCCCCTATCTCCTCTATGGAACAAAATGCCTCAATCCTGTCTTTCTCTGTTCTTTGCTTACTTAAAAAAAAATCTTACTGTACTATTTATACATGTAAGTATTGTCATTAAATACCTACCAAAAACTCAATTATGAGAAATAATTTATGGTAAATGTATGAATGTTTTGTGCCTTCTTCCCACTAGACGAGTGGTCTCAAAATTGTTTTAATTATGGAGTTCTACTGATTAAATATTTCTGAGCAGAAATTACTTATAAATTATGTATTATTGCTGTATTTATATATTGTAAAACATAGACAAAATAGAAACTTTAAAAGGTTCATATTCCAATGAACCATTTTGCAAGTATCCTTATTTGGAGAGCACTTCTCCAAATAAATTTTATCTTGGGTTAAAGTGATGGTCTCCATCTACTGACCCTGTAAAATCTGCCTTTATGGAATTCTCTAAATGAAGGCCATATTAGCCTCATATGACTACTGTCACTGAGAACATATTTTAAGGACTCCGTTGAGGATTTTGTTACACCACAATGCCTTTTTGAGGACAGATGAAATTTCTCCTAAGTCTTTAGAACCAGAGATATCTGTACTGCTCTTGAAAATTTTGTTTTTCTATTAGAGTTATGTAATTGATCACAAAATTCTACCAATATTAACTGGCAGAAAACATAAAGCAAAATTCGTGACTCACTTTTAGGAAGCATATCCACAAGGTATCAACTTGTCTTCCCATTACTCTTATTTATTTACTCATTTGTTTTAAACATCACGTTGTAGCTCACTCCACCCTGGCTTCAATCTAACTTTCTATCATTCCAATTCTTCATCTACTTAAGAAAATCATATCATATTACTTATATATGTATGTGTGAATGTATATGTGTGCTTAAAAGAACCTCAAAATTTCTTAAAAGATAGGGAGGAATGAATAAACAAAATCAACAGGCAAAGAGAAAGCAGGCAATATTGTTCAGAATGAAGGTCATTCTAACCCTGAAGTTCCCCTGTACCAAGGGTATACACTTTGCAGATTCTGAAGCATTTAGCAGCAAAGCCTTTCATCCAAAGGGTAATTTGTAAATGAGTGTTGATGAAAAGAATGACAACTCACAATAGCACTGTACTACACTTTCTCACTCTTTTCCAGTTGGTAAGAAATATTATAGGGAGGAAAGGGCAATTGGCTTTTTTTCACCTGTGTGCAAAGCTTAACGAAAGAAGTCCATGAAAAAGGCAGTCACATTGCCAGATGGAATTTGTAGCCGTGTACCTGGATGTGTTTCCTTCTGGTGTGCTCTGAAGTAATTTGGGGATAACCTGTATTCAACGCTTTCTTGTTTTTCTTGCTCCGCTTCTCAAGGTATCTCCTCTGATGGTCGGTGATACTGCTGTATAATTTAATTCGCCTGGGTGACAAACAAACTCTTTCATGGCCAAAAGCATGGATCAATCGGGCAGTGTCAATGGTGGAAATTGAGCTGCTCCTCTCATGCAAAGTCATTTCCTTATCTGTTTGGGTCAATATATCTGATTCCACAGGAGAAGTGGTGGTAGAAAGGATGTTGGTGGCTGTATCCGTGAGCAGCTCACTATCCTCTGAGTGTCTAGAATCTGAAGAAGTGTTATTTATATAATGAAAACCTGGCTGTTTTCTCAGGATGTATTTATCAAACTTAAACTGTTCAATTTTAATTTGATTGGACCTCCCAGCTTGATGAGTAGAAAGAATCTTACTTTTTTTAAGATCACCTGTGTTTTTATGGCGTTTCTCCAGGCTTTTATACCGTTTCTTTTTCTGAAGCTTGTTTCTCTGCTGTTGCTGTTTATCACTCCATTCCTTAACATCTTGCTCGCCCCTGCTGTCATCCTGCGTACTTTCTGAGGGCTGGAGAGAATGTGTGATGGGGTGCTGAAGAAGTTTAGCCAAACGATCAAGTCGCTCCACCAAGGAAAGCTCCTTCTTGGCACTGAGCTGAGGTTTCTGTTGCTTCTGTCGTTCCTGATATCTGTTCCAGAGCTCATTCAAAGTCACAGTGTGCTCGGATGTTAGCTCTGTGGTGGCCTTAGGATCCCTTTTTACATCATTAATTTGTTTGGCAGATTTTGGAAAATCTCTAGCCTGACTTTTAGTAGCATGCTTCAATTCCTTGTTTTCCAAGTTTACATTGATACTGAGGCTCTCTATTCTGGTATAATCTGTCTTTGTCTTTTCCATATTTTGACAAGGGGAAGGAAGACATGTGTATTCTCTTTGTTTGTCTGGATGATGTTGAAAGAAATCTTTCCAAGAATGCTTCATGAAAACACTTCTTCCTAAGGATTCATGGCAAAAATCTTGATCACTTGATAGGTGCACTGGGTGATGAAAATAAAACTTAGCTGATCTGAATACCGAATGGGTAGTATTTTCAAATTCCGAATGACATCTGGATTCTGAAAAGGAGGAAAAAAGAAACAAAGATTTTGAAGTACTTTCAAAATATCTAAATTCCATTTAGAAATAGTATTCACATTTAATTCTTTATATACAAAACAAAGACTGAAGGAAATAACGGTTTCTATAGGTCAGGGATGCAGTTAGGCAAGAGTGGGCAGCCCCCAACCCTTTCCTGGACTACGAGGCCATCAGCTTGGCCTCCCTTTCCGCAGCAAAGGGAAGGTGAAAGAAGTTAACTCCATGATGACCAGACTGTATCCATGAAATAAGCTGCCACAATTCTGAGAACTGGCCTCAAAGAAATGGGAACAAACTGACCCTGGAATTGAAGACTAACTATACTTAAAAGTCAAGATGATGCTGATCAAACCACTGCATAACCAATTTCAAGACGACTATCAGAGCTGACTGCAGTTTCTGCATGTAGTCCCCTCCTTCCATGTATATACCCTGAAACCTCTTTAAAAGCTCTTACCCACTGGTTATCAGTGGGGCAGTCAGCCTTTGGACATAAGTCTCACCCACCCTCCCCCTGGTCTGCTAGCCTCCAAAAGAAAGCAAACTTTCCTTTCCATAAAAAGAAAAAAGAATGGTTTATATAAAGACTCAGAAAATTCACTGCCTGTACAAAGGATTCATGCTGTGTGCCTCGTGCCCACACCGGCATGGTAGTACTTCAAGAGACTCGGGGTCAAAAGACCCAGGTTCTGGGCTGGATTCTGCCACAAACTGGCTATACGATCTTGCAGAGGGCACTCTGGTTATTGGGATTGTAACAGCAGCTGTTATCTATCACTGATTATAAGATATGCTCTACCTGTTTTTTTCTCTTATAAAATTTATAGAGAGGTATTACTAACCTTATTTTCAGCAAAGAAACCTGAGACTTCATTTTTATCATCAGTAATTAAATGGATAATTTAATTATCCTCCCTCCACGCAGATGATACCACTCTAATGGCAGAAAAGTGAAGAACTAAAGAGCCTCTTGATGAGGGTGAAAGAGTTGAGTGAAGACACTTGCTCCTTGGAAGAAAAGCTATGACAATCCCAGACAGCATATTAAAACCCAGAGGCATTGCTTTGGCCACAAAGGTCCTTCTAGTCAAAGCTATGCTTTTTTCAATAGTCATGTATGGATGTGGGGCTTCCCTGGTGATTCAGATTGTAACGAACCTGTTTGTGATGCAGAGACCCAGGTTTGATCCCAGGAAGATACCCTGGAGAAGGGAACGGCAACCCACTCCCGTAGTCTTGCCTGAGGAATTCTATGGACACAAGAATCTGGCAGGCAACAGTCCATGGGGTCACGAAGAGTCGGACATGACTGAGCAACTAACATACATGCACGGATGTAAGACCTGGACCATAAAGAAGGCTGAGCAATGAAAAATTGATGCTTTTGACTGTAATGCTGGAGAACTTGAGAGTCCTTTGAACTGCAAGATGATCAACCCAGTCAACCCTAAACAAAATCAACCCTGAATATTCACTGAAGTATTGATGTTGAAGCTGAAACTCCAATACTTTGGCCACTTGATATGCAGAGTCAACTCACTGGAAAAGACCCTGATGCTGGGAAAGACTGAAGGCAAAAGGAGAAGGGGGCAGCAGAGGGTGTGATGGTTAGATAGCATCACCAAATAAATGGATATGATTCAAGCAAACTCCAGGAGATAGTGAAGGACAGGGGTGCCCGGCGTGCTCTAGTCCACAAGGCTGCGAAGTCAGACAAGACTTAGTGACTGAACAACAATGCTCACCAGAATTAAGTGGAAACATGTGGACACTGGTGCTTGGGGGCACACATGCTCTAACGCTCTCTCTATCTCCCTATCCCACCACCCAATCCCATTACCTGCAATATCTATCTGTAAGGATTTCTTTTCTTCTGACCAGGCTTCCTTAGGAACCTTCCTCTTACTATGGACCTCCTCTTTCTGTTTAATGGCTTTAGTGTCTTGTAGTTGAGTTGAGTGCTGTGAAGCAGCAGCAGTACTGGAACCTAAGAGAGGAAAAAGAAGACTGTAAGTTGACAAAATTTATTTTAAAATACCTTTCAAACATCCACCCTGGGTTGGGAAGATCCCCTGGAGAAGGGAAAGGCTACCCATTCCAGTATTCTGGCCTAGAGAACTAGAGAACTCCATGGACTCTACAGTCCATGGGGTCACAAAGAGTCAGACACGACTGAGCGACTTTCACTTTCCACTTTCACTAGCGTGAGAAGACAGTTAAGATGGATAAACACTGAGAGTGAAAGAGAAAGACATCTTGGGGAAAGGTGACTACATATGAAAAAAATGGAATCAGGAAAGCAACTCAACACCTAAGAAACAGAACAATTATATAATTTATTTGATTACAGAATTTGTAAGCACTGAAAAGTTGTTTGGGAGCCAATTCTACTGTTCTAAAAGACTAGTCTAAACACGTTTATTTTTAATTTTTAAGGGCAATGAAAACTTTCTGATGTGGAGATTAACATGATCAAAACTTATTTTGAAGCACTGATTTAGCTACAGCAAAAAAGGGGGTAAATTTTTCAAGTTTTGCCCAGAATACATATAGTTCTGAAAAAGAAGCAATACACACAAAAAAAGAGAAGTGGCTAATTATATTACAAAATATGTTTCAATATTTATAACTGTGGCAGAAACTACCAGCTGTCTTCTGAAATTGATTTTCCTCTGCCTCTAAAATAGAACCTGACTTAGCTGGGCATATGTTTACAAGAATAGAGATTATATTTCCCAGCCTCCCTGGCATCACAGGTTGGTGTGACCATGCCAACAGGATGGGAGGGGAATGATACAATTAAATTTTGACAAGTATTTAAAGGAAGAAATATACTTTTTTCTTTTCCTGTTTTCCTTTCTACTGGCTGGAATATGGGTCTGATGGCTACAGTATGAGAATGGAGGCTAAAACGTTGAAGCAACAGGAGAGAAAGAGCTTTCTACCTGGTAGTCTATCTTCTTTAAGCCAATGTCTTTTTTGTTTTGTTTTGAACTCTGAGAGCTAAAGCTAATCCTAACTTAAACACACTTGAATAGGCATTTTTAATTAGTACAGTCCTACTGAAGTGTTTTCACTGAGTAGGTAGTTAGGAAGTAAACAAGCTAAATTCCTGAAGAACAAAAGCCTATGTATGACAATGTTATTAAAGAGGTAGCATCTCATGGCACCAAATATTTTTATCAGTAGTATTTTTAAAAATCCATTATGTGAATTTATGGCAATCATATTAATTTGTGTACAATATACACAAAATTCTCCAAAAATATCTCAAAGAGCTTTAAAAATGTTAATTTCACCTGCCAGTGCATACCAAAGGTTGCAGCTAATATTCTATTTCAGATATGAACAAGATGGAGGAGGGTTGAAGACAACTGGATAACACTTTTCTATTTATTGATATATTCATTTTAGAAGGCCAGAAGAAAATAAAAGGCAGATAATTCAGTTCCTCTACCTGTGGTATCTTTCTGCAAGGATTCTTTTTCTTCAGAGCCAGCAGTCTTGGTCACTGCCTTTTTAGTGTAGATCTCCTTTTCTTGGTTTTTGTCTGAGAGGTCCTCATCCCCAGTGATGAGAACTTGAACTTGAGCATCTGGAATAATGATGTAATTTGATCCCATGGAGAAGGAAAAGGTAACACCAGAACATAATACACCATTCTCCCCCCAAAACAAAACCTCTTTATACACCAGAGGAAAAAAGCATCTCACAGGCTCAACCACATAAAACCTGTGGCAGTTCTGAGGACTTTATAACATATGACAGTTTTGGGGAGTTTGGAAAACTTCCCATATTTTTCTGTGTACAATCATTTTAAATAAAATCTGCTCTTTGCTGATTTGATGCAACAGTAAGGAAAAAAAAGGGGGGGTCCAGATCAGGTATCTTTCAAAGTAGAAAAGTAGGTCTGAACAACCTTTCAAGTTCTGTGGCCTATTCAAAGTTTTTGTTACTTAGGGGACAAATTCTGACATTTCATATAATACTAGAAAAAATTTATATCACCTAGATTTTATATACAGTACTCATGTAATTTTTAAAAATCTGAAGTTAAATTTGTCTAATACTTTCTATTCCCTTTTTCTTGGTCATATTTGCTAGAGATTTATCTACTTTATTTGTCTTTTAAAGTCAGTTTTTTTGTGTGTATGAGAAAGTGTATGAGAAGTGCAAAGTTATGTTGGTAAATAAATTAAAAATCACCGATACAACAACTAGGATACAGTTACCAAGCAGTTAATAATGGTTATATATATATATATTTTTAAACAATGGATTGACAAGAGATTCATTTTCTATCTCTAAGAACAGATATTTTTAAAGAAAGCAACAGAAAGGTAACAGAGCTTACTAAAAATACCATAATGGACACCAATGTGTCTATCACAGAGCTTAAAAAATAAAACATTACAGATAGAGTGATATAGTGATAAAGATACTCTATGTGAAGGCTCAATAATACCATTTTCAGCAGCAACCTTAAGCTCAATTTAGAATCTGCCCATTTCCAGGATGTTTTTGAATTTAATGTATTGGATTGTTTTGCATGTCTTTCTTTAAACTTTATATAAAGGGTGTAATACTCTGAGCACATTTAAGTAACTTGCCTTTTACACTCCAAATTATGATTGGAGGATTTACTCATAATGACTATAATTAATTCATTCTCAATGTTACACAGAATTCTATTCAATTAGCATATCAAGTCATCTGTTGATAAACTTTAGGCTATTTCTATTTCTTTAATATTAAAAAGCATTACAGTGACCCAGAGGGATCGGGTAGAGAGGGAGGTGGGAGGGGGGACCGGGATGGGGAATACATGTAAATCCATGGCTAATTCATTTCAATGTATGACAAAAACCACTGCAATATTGTAAAGTAATTAGCCTCCAACTAATAAAAATAAATGAAAAAAAAAAGCATTACAGTGAGCACAGTTGTAAACTTTCTTTGTAGGCTGCATGAACTGCAAATATCCTCTCAGTCCGTGTCTTGTCTTTGTTATGATGTCTTTTGGTGTACAAAATTTTTTAATATCATATTTATTTTACTTTCATAATCTGTGCTTTGCAGGTGTCATTTAATAAACCAGTATTTCATGGTAAAAACACAGTCATCTAAATTCTAAAAGCTTACCATTTTCCTTTTTACATTTAATATCACTTGGACTACGCTTTTGTTTAGTTTGCAGTAGGGCTCCCCTGGTGGCTCAGATGGTAAAGAACCTGCCTGCAATGTGGGAGACCTGGGTTTGTTTGATCCCTGGGTTGGGAAGATCCCCTGGAGGAGGGCATGGCAACCCACTCCAGTGTTCTTGCCTGGAGAATCCCCATGGACAGAGGAACCTGGCTGGTTACAGTCCCTCGGGTCCCAGAGTTGGACACCAATGAGTGACTAAGCACACACTACACAGGGATCTATCAGCTCTTATTTTCTCTTACACATATAATCAGTGGCCAAAACACTATTGAGTAGTTCACCCCCTCTCCAGGATATGTCATCTGTGGCATATAGTAAGTTTCCACATTCATGGGTGTGTTTCTGGTCAACACATTGCTCCACTTTTGTTTATTACTACATATTAGGTCTTAAATGTTTTATATACACACACACACATGCACACAGTAAGTCTTTTGATATCTGGTATGGCAAGTTCCCTACCTTATTCTTTAAATATACTTCTTGATTTTGAAAAAACTTGGAATCAGCCTGTCAAGTCCCAGGAAAAATTCTACTGGAATTTTGAGTAGTGATGCATTGAGTTTACTTAGTGTTCCTTACTGTAATTCAGTGAAGCTTAATCATTTTCTATGTCCTTGTTAGTCATTTCTAAGTACTTATTTTTTGTTGTTTTTAAAAAACATATCTTAAAAATACCTTCTGTGTTATGTCTCAGAAGACACATACCAAATATTGCACAGAGAATTCAGTGAATTGTTAAAAAAGTGAACATGTACCAGGGTTTAAAAAAAAAACCTGGCTAGAAGTATACATTCTTTCTTCCTCATTCTTTCTTCCAATCTCCCCCAGGCTGATAATTAACAGCCCATTTTAAATGCAACGAACTACTTGTATTTCTGAACTTGCTGTAAATAGAAAAAAGAGCACATAGCCTTATGTCTTCTTTTCTTCTCTCATGTTGTATTTGTAAGATCCATTAAGTGTTAAAACATATTTGTCCTTTGCTTAGTCTCATTTTCTGGTTAGTATTCAACAATGTTAATACAATTCATCCATACTACTGGAAAAATAATGCGCATTTGGTAATTTCCAGTTTGAAGCTATTATAAGAACTGCTGTAAAGAATATTCACGTGTCTCTCCTGGTGCTCATGCACATCCTCTTCGGTGGAGTATATAATTAGGATCAGAATTGCTCGATTATGCTCTTGTATAACTTAGTAGATAATGGCAAATTGCTTCCCAAGGTCACTCTACCAATTTACATTCTCACCAGTAGTGAATAAATACTGCTTGTTTTATATTCTTACCAGCACAGTACTGACTTTTTCATTTCAGCCATTCTAATGGGTATGCAGAGAGATCTTATTGTGATCCTAATTTGCAAATCCCTGCTGACAATCAGGTTGAGTATTTTTGTATATGTTCATTGGCTATTTGATATTCTCTTTTATAAAGTACCTATTCAAGTACTTTTGTCCTTTTCAAAAACTGGATTGCCTACCATTTTCACGTTGATTTGTATCAGTTCATTTTATATTCTGGATAGAAGTCCTCTGTGAGATACATATTGAAAACATCTTCCCCACTCTGTGGCTTGCCTTTTATTCTCTCATTTGGTGGTTAATTAATAGAATACCTTAATTTCATGTGATATATTTGTCAATATTTTCTTTTGTGGTTACTATTTTTAGGGGCTGGGGATTCAATTTAATAAATCTTTTCCCATTCCAAGATTATGAAGACATACTCCTCTGTATTTTCTTGCAGAAAACTGACCTATTTCATCTACCTATGCCTTCAATATTTAAATCTATGAAGTATATGGAATTGATTTTGATGTGTAGTGAATTGGGGGGGGGGGGAGGTCAGTGTTCTTTTTTTTTCCTCCCTAATATCCAATTTACCTAACAGAATTTTACTAAAAAATCATCTTTTCCCCACGGTACTGCAGTGGTAGCTTTATCATCAATCAGGTGTCCGCATATATGTGAATCTGTTTCTGGAGTATTCTCTACTCTGGTCAGTCTGTTTATCCTTGCGCCAACATCACACTGTCTTGATTACTACAGCTTTGTAATAAGTTTTAATACTTGGCAGTGTAAATCCTCTAGATATGTTCTATTTCAATTTTTTATTATTTATATTTAAGGGTATAACTTTACCCTAAGTATCACTTTGGCTATCTTCTATACATTTTGATATCAGAGTTTTAAATATATTGCAACTTTCAGTATTACTTTAACTTCTGAGTTACTTAGAATTACAGTTTTAAATTTTCAAATACATGGTTATTGTATTATTATATGTATATAATATTTATATATTTGTATATTAGTTTCCTAGGGCTGCCACAGTAAATTATTACCAACTTAGTGGCTTAAAACAAAATACATTTATTCTCCCACATATCTGGAGTCAAGTGACAGCAGAAACACGCTCTCTCAAAAGGCTATCTGGGAGAACTCATCCTTGTCTCTTCCAGCTCCTAATGATCCCTAGTGCACCCTGGCTTAAGGCAGCACAACTCCAATCTTTGCTTTTGTCTTTACACAGCCTCCTCTCCTATTCACTAAGTACACAAATCACTGGATTTAAGGTTCACTCTAAATCCAGGATGATTTAACCTAAAGATCTTTAACTAATGACATCTGCAAGTAACATGACATACTGAAGTTCTCAGTGAACATGAATTTTGGGGGAATACTATTCAACCCATAACACACAGATTTTTGTTTTGTTATTACAAGTTTTTATTGTTGATTTCTAATTTGGCTATAGTACAGTCAAAGAAGCTGTTCTGTTTGAACATCCATTCTTTAAAAGCAACAACTTCATCAATTTTTCTAAGTGTTTAACCTGTTCTTTAAAAAAATGCAAAGTTCTCAATAAATCAAATTTTAAAATTCCATTGTCTAAATCTTCTCTAACTTTAATTTTTCTGTTTTTATTTTTTTCCCCTTTTATTATTAAAACCCTTGTGTGGAGGGCTGCCATTAAACAGAACTCAAGAAGGGAGCTTCTCTGCTTCTTAGGAAACCCACCCAGAAGCAGGTTATCTATGAATGGTCTAGTACCTGACAGGTGAGGGGGTGGCTGCCTTTCTGGCTGTACTGCACTGTCCAAAACCAAGCTAGGCATGCCACACCACACCCCCGGGGATGTGGGCAGCCGCCTGCCAGAGGGCGACCAGCTATCTGAACCCACCAAGGCTTCCATGGTGCTGCCTTATGGTTCTACCTCAGCGGGATTCTAGAGGTGTACAGTCTTAAATCTCACAGATGGTAGCTTTGTCCAACTGGCTTCTCAGCCAAGCACATACACTTTAATCCTCTTTTCTGCATCTCTCAGTTTCTGATGGATATGAACTGTTGGGTTTACCTATATCTTCCTGTCATTTTTCCTGCATACAAGTTTGAGTACATGAAAATAAGTTCAAATTTTACCTTGCTGGTTGGTATATTTGAGCCTTTTTTTACTGCAAGGGAAACTCGTGTGTGCATGCACACGTGTGTGCGCGCTCAGTCGCCCAGTCATGTCTGACTCTTTGTGACCCCATGGACGGTAGCCTGCCAGGTTCCTCTGTCAATGGGATTCTCCAGGCAAGAATGCTAGAGTTGCCATTTCCTACTCCTATATATAGATATAGGCATGTGTGTGTGTGTATATAAAATTCATAATTATATATAAATTATAGTTTCATAATTATAATTATATAATATATAAAATATAATATAATTATGTTATGTATTATATCTTATAATTAATATATATTATTAGTAGGAGTATTCCTATTCCTATATATACATATAGGAGTACATATATATATAATATATATATATAATTTTTTGGCCTCGAATTTTATTTTGTCAATATTAGCACTGCTCGCTACATTTTCTTTGGTTAGTATTTGCCAAATATATCTTTTTCCATCTCTTTTATGTTTTGGGAGGTAACGCAAAATAAACAGTAATCTAATAAAAATATCAGACAAATGGTTTTGAAAGTCAAATAGTTTCATTAAGTTTATAACAGAAATCAACAGTTTTCAAATACCACCAATTCATTTAGTCATTTCTTCCAGTATCACTAGCCTTGTTTCCAAATAACATGTTTCATATTGTTGTATCCTTTTTAGTTCCAGAAAATTTTTTATTTTCTTCTATGATCAACAGGGAATTACCTTTTAGAAAACTTTCCTGTCACACCCATATTCCCTCATTCTATCTTTTGAAGTTTTAACCCTATACTAATGTTCAGTGTTTATATATTATGTAAATAAGAGTCATGATTTAATCAATATTCAGTTTCTATGTAATTGTGTTATGTTTCTATTATTTACAGTTAAACCAACTAGAATACTGTAATCATATTTATTTTCTTTTACAATGTTTTGCTTTTCCTGAGGAGTTAACAATTGCCTGTTTTTACATTTGCTAAGTTTCTCTACACCATCCCTTCATCACCCTTATAAATGGAAACAGAACCGAAAATCTCTTCCAAATGCAGGCAGCCATGTCAGGCAGGCCCTCGACCTGACCCTCCTCACAGCCCTCTGTCGGAACTTATTCCAGATCTCCCGTACCACTGCTGCAATGGCAATTACTTTCCCCACTCCCCTATGTTGACCTCATTTTCTTCATTCTATGTTTTCCTTTAAAAAAATTAAATCTTTAATTTGAATGAAATAATTTTCCCTCAGAATTTCAAGGCATTATTCCTTTAGCTTCCAGTCCCATGTATTACTTTTCTTTTTTTAACTGGAGTACAGTCAGTTTACAGTGTTGTATTAAGTTTCTACTATACAGCAAAATGAATAAGCTAAACGTATACATATATCCCCCTGTTTGGGGATTTCCTTCTCATTTAGGTCACCACAGACCACTGAATAGAGTTCCCTGTGCTATATAGTAGGTTCTCATTACTTATCTATTTTATAGATAGTATCAATAGTGCATATATTATTTTTTAAAAGTTTAACATCAGTCTAATATCCATTTCTTTATAGGGTACTTGTTTTCTTTTTGGAAGCTTTTAGAATCTCCTCTTGCCAGTGTACCAAAATTTCAAACAGTCATGTGCCTTGATGTGGATTTTTATGTACATAATAGTTCCTATTAATATGAAAATTCATATCCTTCACTTTTGGGATCTATTCCTATACTAGTCCTTTGATTCCTTCTTTTTTATCTTCTCTATCTTCTGTATGGAACACCTGTCTTTTGATGATGACCCTTTGGAGTCAATCTTGAATTGTCTTTTCATGTTTTTTTTTTTCTTTTCCCTTCTTTTTACGTTCTATTTCCTATCAGATTCTCTTACTTTTATATTCCAATCCTTCTGAGATTTTAATTTCTGATACATTTAATGGGTTCACTTAGCTGGTATACAAAAGTAACTATTCAGTTTTCCCCAGCAGGTATCTTCTCCCTATCCTTCTTAATCCTTTAAAGTGAGAGGTTTTAAGGCTGGGCTTCTCCCATGGTTAATCAGGAGGGCTTTCCCTTAGGATGTCAAGTCTGAAGTAGACCAACAATAATAGTAACAGTAGATCCCTATAGGAAGTGGGAAGTTACAGGGGTCCCTCAGGTAACAAAGCCCAACTTTATTTCAAACACAACATCCTTACCAAATGCAACCTCGAGGTAAGTTATTATGGAGACTTCTAATGGAGTTCCCTTAGTCTATCACTTTTTGCTTCCTGTCAATTTTTGCATACCCACCTTCTTCACAAGTGTCTAACAGTGGGATCACAGGGTTACCTATATGAACCAAACTGCCACTAGTATATAGCTAGCATATGAGAGTTTTCATTTATGAACTACATTTTGAAAAAATATTTGCCTTTTTATTTACTTGGCAGCCTCAGTGCTAACTGGCAGATGAGCTTATTTCATTTCAAAAGACCTCAGAATGCTTTTGAGTGCAACAAAAAGTCATCTGGAAGAATGTCTGCACTTTAGCAAGCAGCCTTTCATTTGGTTTCCTCATAAAAGTACTAACACCATCACATGAAGTCATTAACACTATGCCAAAACTAGAACATAGAGCCAGCAGCCCTTGTTTGAATATTGCCCCAGGATTAGTACCTCCTATCTGGCTAATAGCTATGATCATGAACAAAAAACTGTAAATGTAACAAAGTAACATATGTAAGTACACATGTAGAGTTTTTGGTGGCTCCTGGAATTTTCATTTAATAAAAACTATTGTGTATCAATTAAAGAAGCACAGTATCAGTAATGCAGAGGGGAAAAAAAATCAAGGAGATTCCTAAAGTTTGATTTTATAATATATTCATTGCTCCATTGACTTTGAACCACTCATATGTTCACCTGATCAGAAATTTCTAGTTGGCTGATGTGAAATCTATTAACCTTTGCAATTTATTAAATAAAAAATTTAATCACACACAAAAAAGCTTTTATAAAACATTGGGGCCTTTATCTGGGAATAAGAATGAAGACCCAAGATCGATGAATGAAGCAGACTGAGTCTGAGACTCACGCGGACTGACGCAGACAGAAGAATGTATATCCTTTCTGCAGAGGACAGTCATGCCTCAGGGTTCACTGATAATTGCCAAGAAGGAACACAAGCTGAATGCAACCAGATAGTCTGACTTTTCAAAGGAAGCCCCAAATCTTATTTTTTAAATGCTAGCAGCAAAATTTAAAAAAAATTCAAAACAACATGTAAGCCACAGATTTTCCTGCTGAATCCAAATGATGAGATATTTATACCATCTGACAGATAAATTCATGAAGCATTTTAATCAAGACTTTCTATGGATTTTAGTCTTTAAAACATTTAATTGGATATAATTTCATTTCAAAAGCTGCAATATCGTTTCCATAGTGGAACTAAAGTTTATTGTTTTCAAAAATTTGAAGCATTTAAAAAGATTTTATATTTTCCTTCTTGTACATACCCAATAAAACACCTAGAAGAAAAGTTCGCATTAATGAAGTAGAGAAAAAAGAAAGGATAATACTCCCACTTAGGACAAATATGGGAAAAAAAAAAAAAAAGGCCACAAAACACACAAAGCCACTCCAGTCACCTGCATTATCTTTCTGAAAGGGTTTTTTCCCCATTGACAAGGATGCCTGAGTTACCGCCCTCTTACTGTAGATGCCCTCTTTATGTTTAATGTTAACAGTGTCTGCCAGGTCATCATCCCTTGTGCCCAGCACCTGAGCCGGGAAATCTGGAGCAATGGCATCATTGGATCCTACAGAAAAATGGGAAAGTAGTACAGTTAATGCAAGTACAGATGTGAATTTAAAGAAAAAAAATTACCTCTTAAACCACTTCCATAAAAAAGGCACTACCAAGGGAGTGTTATAGGGTAATTAGAAGGAGACATCAGTCAGACGGAAGCTGTGAGAAATGTACAATATTGCAACAGTATAGTGGAGAAGCAAATGACATAAGAGGAGACATATAAAGCAGAATATCAGTTTGGAAGGGAGATCAAATTCTAGCTCAGGAATGTTTTCAGACGAGGAGAAACAGATTGCAGGTAGGGACTTTTTGAAATACGAAGGGGAAGGAAGAAAGAAAAGCACTTTAGGTAGAGGTTATGGCATTAGCAAAGACAAGGAAAACTGTAAATAAGAAAATCAGATACTTCTGTGGTCACACATTAAAGAGAGTGGTGGGAGATATTAAAAAGTAACTGGGACAAAATTCAGTGGGGCATAGAGTCCCAACTAAAGGGGGTAATAATAAAGGGAAATACAATCAGTCACATTTTAGGAAGGTTAATCTGATAATAATACAAAATATTATAAGGAAAATATTATGTGATAAATATAAGATGTGAATATAAGATTTTTTTTAAAAATACATTTCAGATTCAAGTCAATGTATGGCAAAAACCACTACAACACTGTAAAGTAATTAGCCTCCAACTAATAAAAAGAAAAAAAAAAAGTCCACTAATATAGGAACTGATAAGAAGTTTACCCATGTCACAAAGAAGAGGCAAAAGAACATCTCTGGATATGTAAGAGTTTGTAGTAACTATAGAATTATCTTCTACAGAAATGTTTTTTTTTTCCTTCTTATCTGATACTCCATATCTCACGCACTTTGTAAGCACTGAAAAGGTATATGGCCAAAAAAGCTGAGTAAGTATCAGTACAGGTGGTTCAGCGGTAAAGAATCTGCCTAACAAGCAGGACATGTGGGTTCAATCCCTGGGTGGGACAATTCCCTGGAGAAGCAAATGGCAACCCACTACAATTCTTGCCTGGAAGAGCCTCACGGGCTACAATCCCTGGGGACGCAAAAGAGTCAGACATGACTTAGGGATTAAATCACCACCACCACAAGTATGAGTCCATTAGTATAGTATAAATATGTCATGAGGAATATTTCAGGACAGACTGCAAGAATCCTATGAAGCCCTCTGGGTCATATGTCCATTGAGCTTTTCTTTGCTTCTGTGGCATCCCTTTCTTTTATTTGCTTCCTATCCTTCAGGTAAATCCTCACTGTTCTTTCTTCAACTAAAACTCTCAATGCTGGAGTTCCTGAAGGGGTCAGAACTGGGTTCTCTTCTCTTCCTGGATGAACTCACCAATCACCAATGTATAGAACTGTATGTTGATGACCAACAAATATATATCTCTAGCTGGAACCTTTCTTCTGAGCTTCAGATTCTAGTACTTAGGACACAACTAGCCTCTACAGCATCTGGGGGAGAAACTGTTGTAGCAAAAATAGAAATGACACTTTTCTCAAATAAAAATTAGAGTTTTCTGATAAACAAGGAAAATAAGGAGTGAACAGGCTGGGGAAACAACATAAACAGGCCTGAAAGAGTTAAGCAATCTTGGCTTACTCTTTACTGTTACTACTAACAAGTGTAGCTAGACTTGTCCGTCACAAAGCCAAACAAAGCTAATGACTCTTTGACTCCATATGAATTACTCTGCACCTGGCATTCTTCTCCCCCTACACTCTCTCAGTAGCATTCTGTATTCTAAAAAGGTTAGGATCAATAACTTGAGGGAGAGGCAGGCCCAGCTGCTGAGCTGCCTGATGCCAGCTGTGGCCCTTTTTGAAATTTTGCAAAGGAAAAAAAAAATGCAAGGGACATCCCTGGTGGTCCAGTGGTTAAGAAGTCACTTTCCAATGCAGGTGATGTGGTCCAGAAACTAAGATCCCACATGAAAGTGAAAGTGTAAGTCACTCAGTCAAGTCTGACCCTATGACCCCATGGACTTCAGCCCACCAAGCTCCTCTGTTCATGAAATTCCCTAGGCACAAATACTGGAGTGTGTGGCCATTCCCTTCTCCAGGGAATCTTTCCCACCCGAGGATCAAACTCAGGTCTCCGTACTGCAGGCAGATTCTTTACTGTCTGAGCCACGGGGAAGTGGTGTACCTTGAGGCAACTGGTCCCTTGGGCCGCAAACCACTGAGCCCACGCACCGCAACTAGAGAGAAGCCCACACAGTGCATCTAAGATGCAGACAAAAGCAAACAGATAAGTTTTTTTTAAAATGCAAGACCTTCATTGTGATTCTCTCCCTACTACCCAAAGAAAAGGGGCATAGTTCTTGAGACACTAGCCTGTTGTATTTTCCCCTTTGCTGCGCAATGGAAAAATAAAGCCATCTCTCTCCTCCTCCAAAATTGTCTCTGTATTTCTGTTGCGCATCAATGCACAGAAAGCCAAGAATTTGGCAACAAAATTAGAAAAAGACTTCCTTTTTTCATTAAAAAAAATTGTTTTTATGTATTATGGAACAACACAAACAACTGTACATGAGGTTTTTTTCACCACTTCCCTTTATTCTCCAAGAGAGGTGATTATGTCAGGTTCAGAGGTGGGGAAGAATAAAGTTCCTGAGAGCAGTAGGTATATATAAGAGAATCAACCTCATTGGAGCCAAGAGGCAGTTGAAAGAGAATGCAGCCACACAATATATATATGCCACTGAGTATATGCACACTTATTTTCCTACATCTGTGTTCAGCTGTAAAATGTATCAAAATAAGTACAGATTAATGGTTGGGACAGGAAGAAAGCCCAGAACTCTTAACAGGAGATTTGGAATCTTTACACCCACCTGGATATTTTCATAAAAAATAGCTTATGTTTATGATGTGCCATATTCTACATAGTGCACTTGTATACAAACACATCTCTAAACCAACTCTGTCTAAAATCAACTGCAGATTTAACATCTCCACATGGATGTAGAAGTATCACTTTTAATATGTCCAAAGCAGGTATCTTGACCATCCTTCCCAAATCTTCTTCCTCAGGCTTCTCCATCTCAGTAAATGTCACCTTTTTTTAACCTAGTTGCTGATTCTAGAAAACTAGAAAGCATTCTTTTTTTTAACCTCCTCTCCCTCACTCTCCATATTTTATTACCAAGTCCAGGAGGAATTATTTCCTAAAAATAACTTGAATGTTTCCATTTCTCTCCATCTCTGTCATCATCCCTCTAATCCTAGATGCTACCCTCTTTGATACTGACTATTGCAACAGCCTTTAGGTAACTAGTATCCTCATTTCCACTTCTTGACTCTCACCTGAACTCCCTACTTTTCATTCATAAGCCATCCTCCACGTAGCAGACTGAAAAAATTACAAATGTAAATCAAATGGTAATTGCCAACTGGAAGAAAGTTCAAATGCCTTGATATAGTTTACACAATCCTGCCTCATCTTGAGCCTAGCTATATTTAACCAAATCTAGCCACAGCTCTGCTTTACCCACACTGCCTTCTTCTCATTTGTCAAATGCATCAAACTTCCCCGTTTCTGGAGCTCAGCCCATATTGTTCCCTCCGGCCATAGCACTTTCACTCCTCACTCTGTCTGCCCAATTGACCTATATCTTCTAGATCTCAGTTCTAGAGTTTCTTCTTTAGCAAGGTCTTCATGAGCTCCTAAAATTAAACTGGATCTTCTTATTCTCTTATTTTCTTAATGCATCATTTGTAATTTATGTACTTAATTGTATCTATTTGTTCATATCTAACTCCCCACTTGAACATAATCAGAGGGGACATGTTTATTTTGTACAACCCTATGAATGTAGCACCTAGTATAGTATCTGTCAGGAATACTGGGTCAATACTTAAAATTGTTAGATCACATAATAATTCTATGTTTAATTTTTTGAGGAACCGCTATACAGTTTTCCATAGTTGCTACATCATTACCATTCAGTTCAGTTCAGTCGCTCAGTCGTGTTGAACTCTTTGCGACCCCATGAATCGCAGCATGCCTGGCCTCCCTGTCCATCAAACTCCCATAGTTTACTCAAATTCATGCCCATTGAGTCGGTGATGCCATCCAGCCATCTCATCCTCCATCGTCCCCTTCTCCTCCTGCCCCCAGTCCCTCCCAGCATCAGGGTCTTTTCCAATGAGTCAGCTCTTCGCATGAGGTGGCCAAAGTATTGGAGTTTCAGCTTCAACATCAGTCCTCCCAATGAACACCCAGGCCTGATCTCCTTTAGGATGGACTGGTTGGCTTTCCTTGCAGTCCAAGGGACTCTCAAGAGTCTTCTCCAACACCACAGTTCAAAAGCATCAATTTTTCGGTGCTCAGCTTTCTTCACAGTCCAACTCTCACATCCATACATGACCACTGGAAAAACCATAGCCTTGACTAGACGGACCTTTTAGTTGGCAAAGTAATGTCTCTGCTTTTTAACATGCTATCTAGGTTAGTCATAACTTTCCTTCCAAGGAGTAAGCGTCTTTTAATTTCATGGCTGCAGTCACCATCTGCAGTGATTTTGGAGCCCCCCAAAATAAAGTCTGACACTGTTTCCACTGTCTCCCTATCTATTTCCCAAGAGGTGATGGGACCAGATGCCATGATCTTATAGCAATACCCAAAGAATTTCAATTTTCCATATTCCTGCAATCCTTGTTCTTTTTTATTTCATAACAGCCATCCTACTGGCTATCTCTTCATAGTTTTCACTTGCATTTCCTTTATGACTAATGATGTAAAACATCTTTTCACATTCTTTTTGGCCATCTGTATATCTTTCCTGGAGAAATGTCTCTTCAGATGCTGTGCGCATTTAAAAATGAGATTGCTTTTTTGTTGTTGAGCTATAAGAGTTCTTCAGACATTATGGATATTAGTCTCTTAGCAGATATATCTGAACTGCAAATTTTTTTCTCAACTTTGTGAGCAAACTTTTTACAATGCTGATAATTTTGGGGGGGGGAGCAAAAGTTATGTTA